TCTAGATTCTAAAAGAAAAGACATTGTCATCCCAGAATAACATACCCAGCAAAGCTTTCTTTGTCTTTGAAAAGGAAATAAACTTCTTCCACAGCAAAGCTCAAAGAATATGCCCCTTCCAGACCTGCCCACAAACAATACTTAAAGATGTTCTCTTGAAAAGGAATAGAACCCACCAAAACCAAAGGCAAATGTGGAGAACATCTCAGTAAAATAACAACAGAAGACTAAATCAAACAATGAACAAACAATTGCTAAAATGACAGGACCAAGTTACCACCTATTCATATTAACCCTGAATGTAAATGGCTTAAACCCATCAATCAAACATCATAGACTGGTAGATTGCATTAAAAAACAAAACCCATTTATTTGGTGCCCACAGAAGACACATCTCACCAACAAAGATCAGTGGAAACTATATCATGGATTTTGATGTTGTCCTTGTTATTTTTATTTCTCCAAAACACTTTTTTTCTCAAATTCTTCAGTGACTCATAGGTCATACTGTAGCATCATTTTCTTCAAGAAGGCTTTTGATTTTCAGCAACACATTAGTCATTCAGTAACATGTTATTTAACTCCATGGTGTTGTTAATTTCTTTTTTCTTCCTGTTGTCGATTTTGTTTTGTGGCTTTTCATTTAAGGGGATGTATAGTAACTGTGTAATGGAGACTATCATGTCCAAATGTGAGGGTACAGTGCAGTATGCATCTGTACTTCCAGATCAAAGATGGACTCCCAGTGAAACTGTTTACTATATCTTGACGATGGGATCCTGGACCCTGCTCTTTCCAGGCCCATGATGATGAACATGCAAATGTGTATGGGCAACTATTGTAATAACAGAGGGGCAATCTGCGTGTGTAGGTGGGAACTTAGGGATTGGGTCCAGGAAATCCCATAGCCTATGAAATTGTATCGTAAAGTAGTAATGATAATAATGATGAAAAAAGGAAGATTAAAGAAAGACCTCAAAAAAATAATAATAACAGGGTTCTTCACAATCTCAATCACCTGTGAGAGTGACATAATCTTTGGGAGACAGACTACAATTTCTATCAACCTTGTCAAGGTGTTAGTGCTCAAACCCCTTAAAAAGTTTTGGGTTTTGGGGAGCACTATGGCATAGTATGCTAAGCCTCTGACCAACATTCCATTAGGGCACCTCTTTGAGTACTGCCTGCTCCATTTCCAATCAAGCTTTCTGCTAATGGACTGGGAAGCACAGTGAGCTTAAACATGTTTTGGTCCCCATTGGGAAGACCCACCCACAAATGTTGCCTGCATCTGCTTCTGACTGGTGCTCCTAGATAAAGCTGCATCTGGTTCATTTCCTTTCTGTAGAGTTCAAGCCCATGGACAAGAATATTTCTTCCCAGATCTCTAGAAAGCTAAATCACATTCCCAAAGTAATTTCGAATTGTGGAATGCAGAGGGACAGCAAGCCACAAGAAGTCACCAAATAAGTGGGGGAAAAAAGCTGGAAAATGTTTTGATGATTGGAAATTAGCAACTTTTACAGCAATCAGAAATTGTGTAGTGCATCCATAATTCTCAGGTAAAAGAAAATGACTCCCGAGGAAACATGATTGAATTTCCCCAGCTCAAATTTTCTATAACACTACATTCAGAAAGGTATGCATTTATGAGGTTTTATATGCATGAGAGGGAAAAGGATATGAACAAATACCATAAGAAGGAGGCAGAGAAGCTTGGTTATCTAGATAGCATTGTATTATATTAGCTTAGAGTATATGAAATCTGTCCCTTTTACACTTAAGAAACCCTATTAAAGCAAGAGGAAGAGGACCAGCATGAAAACCGAAAAAACAAATTACGTGAAGGTAGCAACATCATCACCACAGTTAATATAGAAACAATGATGACAGTACAAGGTCACATCACTGGGTTTAACATGGAAGTAATTTCACTGTGGAAACTAATAGTATTAAATTAAAAATAGAGGCCAACAAACCCGGATGAGTACAAACAATACTGGAACATGTTAATATTGAATTAGAACAACAGATTCTGACACAGCGAAGAACAGATCTAAGTAAATAGCTAACGAACTGAACCAATATTTCCATCAGTGTGAGGATTAAATATTTAAAGTATACGTATCAGATTCAGCCAAGATATGTAAGCCTCCATTTTGGAGAAAGAGTCGAGAACAATTAATTTATCATTCCTGGAACTAGCCCTATCTCTGAGAGTCTCAGAAGATAATGATTGCTTCTTGAAAAGGTGAGCCATGACGAGCCAGGCTGTGCATAGAAGAAGCTCAATTACTTTCTCTATTCATCTCCTATCTCATCAAAACTTCCCAAAACCACAAAATGGAAACAATGGCATTATGACCAGTGTTTCAATGAAAACTGATGCCTGGTTTTAGGATATTTCTCATCTTTACCTTTAAGGCATTATATTGAGATTATTTTATATTTCTCCATAACCTCAGGAGGTTCCCTGCAACATATGCATTAAAGTCTAAAAGATCAGTCAACTTTCCCTCCCTAAATCAATTACACAATTATTTACTGGCAACTTGTGCAAGGTGTAAACTGTAATATTATTTCAACCCCAAACAGCCTGTATCTCATGCAATAAGATATTGTGATGTAACCAATGAACCAACAATCTATGTGAGTCAGACTGCTTATGATCTACATCAAAAAATTGTAAAATCTAATAGACTTTCAAAACCCTGTGCTACTCAGAAATGGGGCGGGAAAGCAGAGAAATCTTCTTTCTCTTTAGAATGTGTGAGGAAGACGTGAAGTATAACTTATCAGGAAATAACAGGTAACTTATAGACAACAGATTCAAATCAGCATTAGACAATAGTAAAACTACAAAGACATACGGGGGAATCAAGAGCAATCCTAACAACCTCTGAACAGAAGGTCATATGCACAGAGCAGAGGGGATTCCAGAGTGGAGCAGGAGGACAGGAAGAGGCTTGTATCCCAACCCTGGAGACTCTCAGATCCTCACCAAGGACTATTAGTACGGACACCAAGGACTACATCCCAACTACCAAAGAGACAACAGGGAATAGGAGTGCCTTTAGAGGCCAAGAACTCTGAGGTTATTCACCCCCTCTTGGATCTACCACATGAGATGGATGAAGCCCAAATCCTTCCTCGCAGGATCCAAGATCATTGGAACAACGCCCAGGAACCCTGAGCAGTCCACAGAAACAGAACAGTAAACTTCCTTCGGGACTAGGGAGAGGAGCTTTCTCTGGTCCTTACTTAGTTCCAACTTTGGCTCCCCACCTTCTCCTGCAATGACCATCAGGGTTGCTCTAGACCCTCCCCCCCAAACACACACACACATTACAATAGACAGGCAGAGAACAACAAGGAAAGCTTAGAATCAGACAGGAAATGGTCAGCATGGACTCACACATACCTAACTAGGTAGGGCACAAATATTAATTACTCCTCACTAAGGTAATAAAGATTTCTCTGCACACCACTCCTAAAATTGTTCTGCACTTCAACTGTTGACATATGCCTTGTTAGAATTATAACCCAGTTTAGACTATCCTAAAATCTGCCAAGTTCAGCAAAATTATGCTTCAACACTATAAACTGCTAAATACTAAAATGAAAATAGACATGAGAGAGCTGAATAGTACCATATGTAGCCATTTTAAGGTGTATAGCAGCCAGTTCTGTGTGTAAACTAAAATTGAAATGTCAATGAAGTAGTCACAGATGTGGTTAAGAATTTGCATTTTTTAAAACATATTGGTTACTCAATACCATGTCAATTAATTGCATAATGTTGCAAATTGTCATTGATGTTATGTTGTGGCTTTAAATTAATCAGGATGATATTCTGCCAGCTCTGCCTTCAGACCAGAAATGGTCTCCCCAAGAAGCCGTTGAATTTACCTGAACAATAAGATGCTAGACTCTATGCTTGGTATACTCTTACAATAAAAGAATCTTGACTGAATTTGAAATGTAATACAGCAACAAGGTGGAGGGATCCACCATGGAGGGAGGGGTTGGGGGATCCCCAGAACCTATGAAACTGTGTCACATAATGCAATGTAATTAAAAATATATAAGAGAGAATTGCAAGGTGTATGACCTGAGGTGTTTGAACTAGGTTAAAGAGACCAGTGGTCAGGGACCTAGAGGTGACAAGAAAGACTGACTCAGAGAACATTCAGATCCTGTGTGTAGTACACACATAGAGATGCAGGAGACAAGACAGAGCTAGGAGAAGACTCCATTTCATGTCCGTTTGGGTCTGAAAAACATGTCTCAGTGCCAAGTGAAAGTGATAATCAGGAGTCCACAGACTTTCAGGGTCTCAAACAGAACAACATGGATCTCTAAGAAAATTCAGCACAAAATTCATTTAGCACAAGAATCTCGGTCTATACACAAAAACAGACCCAATTGAATCTGTAGTTTCCTGGTAACCACCCACTTTGTGTGATGAGTTGAAAGCACTTAGTGAATGCAGAACACTGCACTCATACCTCATCTTCTGCATCCTCACTGTCTCCCAGGGAAGCAAACTTCTATATCAGTGATGTGCTTGCAACAACTAGAGAGAGATGAAGTGCCCACCTCATGGATGATCACACACCCTGGCTGAGTCCTGGCTGTCAGGTGTATGTTTACTGTAATCCCAATCCATTTCATGCCTCTTTCACCCTGAAAGAAAAAGAAGAGAAAATCAGTAAAGACTGGAATGAAAGTGAACATATCACTTAATCGGATTTCAATAAAAGGAAGCATTTGAGTTATTGATAATAATTTTTGCAATGCAACTATTTGATTATGTCAGTCTCTACATTGTCATGGGTCCAAATGCTCCACCTCCTGGTTTCTGCATCCAGATAGGACTGGCTGAATTCCACGTAGGTAGATCTGTGAATCATGGTCCAATCACAAACTAAATATATGAAACTCCTTTCTTCCCTGAAGAATTTGGGTGGCTCCCTAGAGAATAAATACAGCAGGACTCTGTGTTCTCTACACAGTATACCACTTCAACTCGGACACTAACAAGCAAAGATCCAACAACAGCCGCTCAACATGAAGCTGGTCATGGTCCTCATGCTGGCTGCCCTCCCCCTTTACTGCTATGCAGGTGAGTTACGAGCAGGGAAGGCAACATGGGCTACAGCAGATGGTAAATGGAACCATGTTGTAATTCCAGTAACAGGTCAGTTTCAGTACAAAGGGCCAGCTATAATAGACCTATCAATCATCACCACTGTTGGGAAAGAGCTGTGTTTTTATGGATTTTGTCCCTGCCCTGGAGCTGTATGCTATCCAGTGTGCCTCACCATTGAAAATAGTGCGGTAAAACCCAGGATGAATCTCAGGAACATATGTTAAAATATACATTCAGAAGAATTCAGGAAGGGTGTGAAAGAATGGTACCATGACATTGTGTTCACTGTTGACTTTCCTGACTAAGGCACTCGAGAAAATCCTGCACGGTGAGAGAAAAGAGGGGGCCTCTGAGAGAAAAATTCCAAGTGACTGGATGACCCAGTACACCACATTGTCGTTTATTTTTGCAGATGGTGCACAGGAGTGGAAACCTGAAAGGGATTGTGTTGTGGTCAGAATTATGTAAATAAGCTATGCAATGATCCATGAAATGATCTAGTCAGAATCCAAATCCTGACATCTTTCTAACCTTCCCCAAAATACAGGCCAAAGCAGGGGATTCCCAAGCTCTGTGGTCCGCATTGCATTGTTTATAAACAGCAGAGCTAATAGAGCTAGTGCACATATTAAGTTTGAGATCTGTTACCCTTGGAAATCCTGTTGTTGCTCTGAATTATAGTACTGACTTGATATGTTAATTGGGTTTTCATGACTTTACCTAAAATACTTGGTAGTACTTACAGTGTAAGTGGTTACATACCAAACAAGGTTTATCTTGGCTCATGGTGTTGGGGGTTCCAACTGTAAGGTCCAGGAGCCGCGTTGTTCTGGGGTTTGATGAGAAGAGCAGAATGACAACTCAAGGAGGACTGCATGATGAGCTTAGACAGACCGTGGGAGTGCACTGTCTTCCCCACCTCTGTGACTGTAGCATTTTGGATGTAGTCGTTTATGGGAGGGAAGGAGAGACACAGATCCTCTACGGCCGATTCACCGCCCTGTACATTTAAGGTAGAAAATTATGGGGCGATGGCTAATATAACTAGGACTCCCAACCACATTCCACATCAGACTATAAGCTCATTTTCTCATTCTTACTCCCCAGGTCTTGGCTGCCAGTTAATGGGGGACTTGGTCAGTAAGACTGCCGACGAAGCCGTATCGATAGAGGAATACGTAGCATTTGTGTCTGAATTCATAAACACTGATACTGAAAGAGAGGCTGTGGTGAATTTCAAACAGTGTTTCCTCAATCAGGACAACAAGACTCTGGAAAACTTTTTAGCCTTAGAGGTAATGTTGATTATGTTCTATGCTGTAAATCACTCACCAGGAAGACACAAGCTCTTCATCTATCATCAGTAATGACAGTCAGTTACACTCATATCGATTTAGTCAGTTAAATTAATTTTGTTTTTAGTATGATATCCTACTTCACTTCAAATCTACAATCAGTGAACATTTTTAAAATGTAGCAGGTAGAATTAACAAACATCTTTCCTAACACTCACCCAAGTCCATGCACACATGACTATAAAACACACATGAAGAGCTGTGACACAAGCAGAGAGACACGCACACTCTAAACTATTTCACTGAGCAATAATTTTGGAGGAGACTGAAAACTATAGAATGTGTCTCTTGTGGGAGAAATTGCCCTAGAGCACTGGCCTCTCCTAGGCATCCATCATTGCACTCCAAATGTAGAATAAATAATGATTCCAAGTTTGCTTTCAGTGGTAATTTTCCTGCATTTTTTTTTAGAAAAAATTAATAAAATAGCAAGAAATCTTGATTTCAATATTACATTAATGCAGAGAGTGTTGAAAAGCTATGTCACATGTCTGATTTTATTTTGCAGGATATAATAACTGACAGCCTGTACTGTGCTCCTTTTTAATTGTCACAAGGCCTGTTTCTCAGTGGAATCCAGACTACGTTCCCCAACTGTGTGCAGACTGCCAGAAACCACAACTCTGCTTCTTTTTCTTTCTGTAATCATAAAGCTGAAAGACAATTGTTGAAACCTGTAGTACATTTGATTTCAATAAACTTATTGCAAGGAACTGTCAAGTTCCCTTTTCTTCCACCGTAAGGCTGCAAGGGTTTACAGATCTCTGACACTGACCTGTGTGTGCCGAAGATAATGCTGCATCAAAGAACCAAGGACATAGGACTGGGCAGATTGTTTTGATCTTCCTTTGATAGATTTTTGTATTCTCATTGCATTGATCACATTGTTTTCTGAGCGATAATCGTAGGATGAAACATTAGGTGGGATGGGTACATACATTATTGAAAGCAAAGGGCAGTGTTGTCTATAAGCCCCAAAAATCATTTGCGTTTTTGCCTGGGTGACTGACTAGATCCTATCAGAACATTACTTGCCCCAAGATTTCAAGACCCAGCCAGGCATTGTGTATTCAGTCAACTAGGCACTGCTGGGACACTGCTCCCTTCCCTTGCCAGACTGTCTTCCCAGACCTTTGGGGTCACACTGGGCTCATGGTCTTCTGCGCAAGTGTGTCCAGATTGCCCCTATTTAATTTCAAACAGCTGCATTTATCTTCTCCTGGATACAGCTCCTTCTACTGGTTTCTTGATATCCTACCACAGAAGTTTCTCTCTGAATTTTTGGTTCATGTTTATAATTAAGATGGAAAGAAGTCCCCAGGGTTTCCTGGTATGCCTGTATACCAACATTACGTCATTGCCTTCTCTCAATGGAGTTGAATTTTTAACCTTGGTTAACTGTCCATAACAAATATAAAAAAATCAAACTAGTTGATAAATGAGGTCAGCAGAAAGTAGTATAACTATTATTTTCTCTAACTTGAAATCCCCAAGAGTGGAGTAATTTAGCAATTTTTAAAATAATGTGTATTATTTTATTTGAAAGAGTTACTGAAATAGAAGGAGAGACAGAGATAGGGAGACATTCCAATGTTGGTTTACTTCGAAGTGGCCACAATGGCTGGAGCTGGGCCAGTCTATGCTAGGATTCCAGAAATCCATCTGCGTCTCCCATGTGAATATAAGGACCTAAGCATTTGGGCCATCTTCGTTGCTTTGCCAGACACATTAGCAAAGAGTTGGATCAGAAGTGAGGTCATTGGGACTCATACTGATGTCCATACGGGATGTGGGCAGCACAAGTGGAGGATTAGTGTAATACACCATGGTGCTGGACCCCAGCACTATGTCCAGGCACCTGCGTGGTAAGGTAATGATGGAAGGAAAGTTCTGGTTCAGACTGGATGAGTCTGCAACAGAAACACTACTGGTCAGCTGTCATTAAGGCAAAGGGTACCCAATGAAATTTTGTGAATGTGCACAGCTATAGCTACTGTATGGTTCCCAGACCCTTTATTTCCTCAAGTTGTCTCCCAGTTATAGGCATACACCTTAAGATCAGCATTGACACATGAAACAAAGCAAAATCAAACTGTATAGACTAAAGAGAAATAAAATGATGGACTACAGTAAGGACACAAACAGATGCAGAATCATTAGAATGGTGAAGCAGAGAGGCTGTGATCCCAGGACAAGATCATGGCAGAAGAATACCTGGAGGCCTGAGGACACATATAAGCAGCAGAGTCAGCAGAGCAGTGTTGCAGTTACCAGGCACCCCAGCACAGGTCAGCGATTAGTGACCAGAGTTCTCCCAGTGGTCTAGGGAAAAGAGAAGTTCACCAGGAGCTCAGGAAGTAAAGCCAGGAGTAGACATGTCCATCCCCCTGATTTGCCTGGTTTGACCATGAGCACAAGCAGAGTGCAAAGTCCTAGCAAGCAAGTGCTGAAACAGGGTCTATTTCACTGCATATTCCTCCACCAGTGCCACATCAGGTGCCATTTTGAGTACTGAGAAAAAGCTGAGGGGCTGGAGTAACCACAGCAATGGATAAGGGCTAAACCATGAGTGAGTTCATTGCCAACTTGATGCATTGCACCAAGCCCACAAGGGAAAGCACCCATTTTTCATCCTGCAGTTTCCACCCAAGATCGGTCTTCATAGCCCCTAGACCACAGCAGGCCCAGACACCCACCAGTGCTATATTGAAGGCTACCTTGTATATTGAGAAAATAATGGAGAGCTGGAGGTTAATAGTGACCTCCACATGTGCTAATCTGGGAGACAACCCATGTCCAGCTCAACACATTGCACTGATACGGCAGAGAAATCAATACTAACTTGACACCCTGCAGATTTCACTCAAAATAGGTCTGGGTAGCCTCCAAACCTAACAGCTGGCAGGTCCAGACCTCCACCAGTGGCATATTGGATGCCATTTTGTGTAGTGAGGAAAAGAACAAGCTGTACAGATGCTGAGCCAGGAAAGAACTCACTTCCAGTTCAATGCATTGCACACAATGGTCTCACAGAGAAAACAGTACCAACCTGGCATCATGCAGGTTCCACCCAAAATAGATCCAGGTGGCCCTCAGATCTAACACAGAGCAGGTTCCTGCAATCAGCACCATAGATAATCTAGTGGTTTAAGACAACTGGCGTCAAGCTAATCCCAGGCACTGCTCAAACTGGGAGTGGGGGAATGACTCTCCAGGCAATAGTATGGCCATAGCATAGGATCACCAGGGTTGGAAAGTGGTGAGCCAGGAGTTGGCACTATGAAGACCACAGTGGAAGCCAGCATAAGAACCCAAGAATGAAACACACTGGAGGGAGTAACACTAGAGAATCAAATGAAGAACAGGGTACTGAATGCATAAGTACAATTGAACTTCACACAAGTGGGCAACACAATGTAAAAATGGGTCCTATGGAGAAGAATCTGCTAACCAGAATTACAATGACCAATCAAAAGAAGATGAAGAGATACAATGAATATTACTGAAGACTCCCCTGCAAAAGAAGCAGATGCTTTTGTCAACCGCCAATTGAAAAAGATACTTTAAAAATGGGAGATAAGAAATTTAAAAGCTTTGTTATAAAGCTTCTTATCAACAAATGAGAAGCATATACAGGAATCAAGGAATTCAAGCAATATGTCACACGGGAAATAGCAACACTGAAACAAATCAGGCTAAATTATTACAAGTGGAGGGAACAGCAGAGTAAACTTAAAATTCAGTGTAAAGCCTCAATAATAGATGAGTGAGGGGCCCAGTGTGGTGAACTAGTGGCTAAAGTCCAGGATCCCATATGGGTGCCGGTTCTAATCCTGGCTGCCCCGCTTCCCATCCAGCTCCCTGCCTGTGGACTGGGAAAGCAGTCAAGAATGACCCATAGCCTTGGGACACTGCATGGGATACCTGGAAGAAGTTCCTGGATCCTGGCTTTGGATCGGCACAGCACCGGCCATTGCAGTCACTTGGGGAGTGAATCATTGGATGGAAAATCTTCCTCTCTGTCTCTGCTCCTCTCTGTACATCTGACTTTGCAATCAAAAGTAAAACAAATGTTTAAAACAATAATAGATTAGTGAAGCAGAAGAATCTCAGAATGGAAGACAGTTCCTTCAATGATGGGGGAAAAATCAAAAAGATCGAAAAATAACTGAGTCAAGCTAAGAATTCAAGAATAAAGAGATATGGGCTCAGCAGCTTGGCCTAGTGGCTCAAGTCCTCACATTGGATGTTCCAGGATCCCATACAGGCACCGGTTCTAATCCCAGCAGCTCCACTTCCTGTCCAGCTTCCTGCTTGTGGCCTGTAAAAGCAGTCGAGGACAGCCCAATGCTTTGGGACCCTGCACCTGCATGGGAGACCTGGAGGAAGTTCCTGGCTCCTGGCTCTGGATTGGCACAGCACCTGCCATTGCGCTCACCTGGGGAGTGAATCATCAGACAAAAGATCTTCCTCTCTAATTCTCCTCCTCTATATAGATATCTGACTGTAATAAAAATAAATAAATCTTTTTTAAAAAAGAATAACGAGACACTATTAAAAGGCCAAGTATGAGTAGTGGGAGTTCTGGAAGGCACAGAGAGAGAAGCTGGGTTTAAAAATGTATTCAATGAAATAACAAAGGAAAACATCAATAATTTGGAATAAGAATGGGAAAACAACATGCAGGAGGGACACAAAACTCCCAATAGTATTGACCAAATTGATCTTCGCCATGACACATGATAATCAAACTCTCTTCAGTTGATCACAGGGGGAAAGTTCTTTAAATATGAACATGAAAAAAGCCAATTCACATATAGAGGAGCCTCAATCAAACTCACTTCTGACCTCTCACAGAAAATTCTACAGTCCAGAATGGAAAGAATTAAGAAGACTGAAAACAATCCAGGGAAAAAGCCTGGTCTATTCAACAAATGCTGTTGGGACAACTGGATAGCAGCTTGCAGAATTAAGAAGCAAGACCCATACCTGTCACATTATACAAAAATCAATTCTAAATGAATCAAGGATGTAAATCTGCATTCAGAAACCATCAAACCATTAGAAGAAAACATAGGGAGCACTCTCCAAGATATAGGAATGGGGAAAGACTTCTAAGAAAAGACACCAAAAACACAGGCAGTAAAAGATTAAATAAACAAATGGGGCTACATCAAACTAAGAAACTTCTGTATAATAAAGGAAACGATTAACGAAGTGAAAGCACCAAATAGAATGACAGAAGATCTTTGCACACTACACAAATGAAAAGAACATAATATCCAGGATTTACAAAGAGCTTCAGAAACCCAGGGACATAAAAAAAAAAACTGCAAAGAAATGGGTAAAGCAAATGAGCAGGTGTTTTTCAAAAAAACAGTTTCAAATGGCTAACAGACATGTGAAAAACTGCTCAGGCTCCCTGTCAGGTAAATATAATTGAAAACCACATTGAGGTTCCATGTAACACCAATGAGATTGGCTTACATTCAGAAATCTACTAACAACACCTGCTGGCATGGAAAAGTACCCTCTTTCACTGCTGCTGGGAGTGCAGGCTAGTACAACCAGTATAGAAGTCTGTATATAGAGTGCTAAGAGAACTGAAAATTGACCTGCCATATGATCCAGCTATTCCACTGCTGGCAATATATCCAAAGGGAGTGAAATCTACATATGAGAAAGCAATCTATAATCCTATATTTACAGCAGT